TGGTGACAACAAAACCAGACACAATTCAATGTCCAGCCTCAGAGGCACGCCGAGTAAGCAGCGCGGTGAAACTGTACCGTGCAGACGCTGAACACAGCAGCAGTGCATGTAAGAAGCCCGTGCTGGCCAGGGAGAGACAGACAGCCCAGGTGGGTGAGAACACAGGTCCCAGCACGTGGATGGCCATTTTCTTGTTTTTTGAGACAAGGTCTCACTCTGTCACCCAGGCTGGGTTCATGCAGTGGCACGATCATGGCTCACTGCAGCCTGATATTCTGAGCTGCAGTCAATCCTCCTGCCTCAGCTCCCGAGTGGCTGGGACTACAGGTGTGAGCCACCACGCCTGGCTAAGTTCTTAAAACTTTTTTATTTTTTATTTTTTTTTTTTTTTATTTATTTATTTATTTATTTTTTTTTTTTTTTTTTTTTGAGGCGGAGTCTCGCTCTGTCGCCCAGGCTGGAGTGCAGTGGCGCGATCTCGGCTCACTGCAAGCTCCGCGCTCCGGTTCCGCCATTCTCCTGCCTCAGCCTCCAAGTAGCTGGGACTACAGGCGCCGCCACCACGCCGGCTAATTTTTTTGTATTTTTTTAGTAGAGACGGGGTTTCCATTGTGTTAGCCAGGATGGTCCTCGATCTCCTGACCTCGTGATCCGCCCGTCTCGGCCTCCCAAAGTGCTGGGATTACAGGCTTGAGCCACCGCGCCCCGCCAAAAACATTTTTTAGAGATGGGGTTTTGCTATGTTGCCCCAGGCTGGTCTTGAAACCCCTGGCCTCAAGTGATCCCTCCTGTCTCAACTTTCCTAAAGTGCTGGGATCACAGGTTGAGCCACCTGCCCCAGCCCACGCAATTTTTTTTTTTTTTTTTTGAGACAGAGTCTCACTCTGTCGCCCAGGCTGGAGTGCAGTGGCCAATCTTGGCTCATTGCAAGCTCCACCTCCAGGTCTCACGCCATTCTCCTGCCTCAGCCCTCCCAAGTGCTAGGACTACAATGCCCCCCACCACACCGCGCTAATTTTTTTGGTATTTTTTAGAAGAGACGGGGTTTCACTCTGTTAGCCAGGATGGTCTCCATCTCCTGACCTCGTGATCCGCCACCTTGGCTCTCCAAAGTGCTGGGATTACAGGCATGAGCCACCGCGCCCAGCCCAGCATGATTTTTTTTTTTTTTTTTTTTTTTGAGATGGAGTCTCGCTCTGTCGCCCCAGGCTGGAGTGCAGTGGCGGATCTCAGCTCACTGCAAGCTCCGCCTCCCGGGTTCACCCGCCATTCTCCGGCCTCAGCCTCCCAAGTAGCTGGACTACAGGCGCCCGCCCTCGCCCGCTA